TAATTCTGATCCCACTTCTAACCCAGGTAGACCATTGTCTCTGATCTTTGCCTGAAGCCAAATCCCAGTGTCAACCCCAAACAAAAATCTAAGCGCCTTGCCTCCTGCTGCTGGCTCCTGGGGTCTGAGTTACATCTTTCCTTGCATCTAATGGCCTCTCTCCCTATGAGTCTGATTTCCTCCCAAGCTTGCTACTTTATTTCCATCTGTCTTCTGGGGCTAGCAGCCAAACACTAAGAAAGAAGAGGGTGGGGAGTAGCTAACTGAGGAGGAGTGTATACCCGGAATCTTAGCCAGGGCGAGGCCTGAGTATCGTGGGAGGGAGGAGAGCGAGGCTGGAAGCAGATGGGTGCTCTGCACGGAGGCCCTATGATCTTGACACCCCTGGAGAAGTATCTTCTAGTGCTGACCCCAAAACTTGTGCCCACCTCTCACAGCTGCACGTATATGGACCCTGAAGGCAGCATTGGTAGCTCTTCTCCAGAGCAGCAGGTGGTCGCTTGTCTCTGGCTGCAGCGCTGAGATCACCCCTTCAATACACTGGGCAGACCTGCCAGCGATTCACAAGCTTTGCTTTGCACAGCTGGCTCCTTCTCCCCTGGTTACCAAGGTTACTGGCCACAACTGCCATTACCAAGAAAGAGACGCATGTTACGGGTTTCGGCCGAGTGAGGTAGTCCCTTTCCTTATCCCCCTACAAGAAAGTGTATGACAGACCTAGGAGCACTATTTTATTGGGCAAGTCACCTAAACTCAAAGCATCAGTTTCCTCATTTCAAAACAGGGTAGTAAGGATTAATTGAAATCATGCATTTGACCCAGAATCTAGCGTGCAATAACTTCCTCAACAAATCCAGAGTAGAATTTTTGGTTGTTCTCTGGGCTTTGGTTTCCTGATCTGGAAAAGTGAGCATATTAATAAATTAAACTTCCTAACATCATAAGAATTACAACAACCAAGTGATAAAAGATATGAATAACACTTATGATTTCATAATAGTGTGTAAAATATCATACACTTCTCTAAATCAGGCAATTGTCAGTTAATTTATTAATCACCTATGTTTTGGGGGGCCTTCATCTCAGTTATGTTTTGTGGCATTCTTCCATGTTTCTTGCATTTCCACTTTAGGGTCTTGGGAGGTCTTGAGGCATCTGATGTTGCCTAGGACATCTACAGCAAGGCCTCTGTCTCCTGGCCATGCCAGTTATGCTAGTGTGTCCTTTGTTCAAGTTGGGACATCCTGAAGGGACTGCTGCTCTGAGACCCCATATCTACTCTGGCATAGTGATCATCTCCAATTTCCAGAGACCCAGATCTTAGTGTCCCCTGTTCTGAACCCTCTGTGGAAGTGGAGCCTAGGCTTTCTTTTCATGGACACTCTGATAATTCTGGCTTCCACTGCCTTTGCCTTCTGGTGTTGTATGGCAAATGGGATTTTGTAGGTGCTATTAAAGTTAATAATCATCTCATCTTAAAAAAAATCACCCCACCTTAAAATAAGGAGATTGTTCTGGATAATGCAGATGGATGTGATCAAGTCAGATGAGTCCTAATAAGAAAGATTTTCTTGGTCTGATAGAAGAGACTTGAAAAATGAGGAAGATGTAGTGTGCTTTTGTTGATCGGAAGATTCAGAAGCCAGGTATTGAGAAGAAAGAGAGCTCAGTCATCCAATCAAAAGGCACTAAATTTTACCAACAGCCTAAAGAGCTTGGAGGCAGATTCCTTTCCAGAGTCTTGAATTAATGGCTCAGCCCAGTGACACTTGAGTTCAGTCTTGGGAAGCTCTGAGCACAGCCTGGATTTCTGACTCACAGAACTTTGAGATAATAAGTGGGTGTTGTTTGAAGCTGCTAAATTTGCAGTGATATGTGACAGCAGAAAAGGAAAATTAATATAACATTCAGGAATCTCATTCCTTTTCTTAGGCTTGGGAAATCTTCCTTGCCGGTTCAGAAGCTTCTGTTTCTTCAACACTAAGCCCTTGGAGGCCGGCACAGTTTGATACTAAGAAAATTGTTTGTGAAAACTTAGAAGCCATGGTTGCAAAATAATCAAAGGCAAAGAGTTTCTCATTATTTCTGGTTTTGATCCTGCAACCTAGAAAGCTTGAAGTTTAGGGAATGCAAAGATTTAGGTACTTTATGATTGCAGGAAGTACCTGTATGTATGGATCTCAAGATGATGATTTCAATAAAATTTCTTGCCACATACATAAATACTTAGCCTAGTGCTTGACACACACTAACTAATGTACTTCATATATGAAGAATTTATTGTGCTTATTTCCAGAACCTAAAACTGTGCTCACTTGTGTCTGTCCTGACTTTCAAGTGTCGAAACACTGTCTTCAATACAGTGATGGTAACTGCACCTTAACTTGGGGAATTCCATGAGAATTGCTGACATTTAAGTTGCTTTATGGCATGGTGGCTCCACCTTGAAGAATTTGATCTTCTCATTCAGAAGAGCAGAGATAGAGAAAAAACCCAAATATCTGGCTATGGAAGAGTTTTGTTTCTGCGTTCACAACATGTCAGTAGCCAGATGTTACCCTTCTTCTGCTGTAGATCAGAATTCTATGGGTAGCAGGGACCACCTGTTCTAACAGAGCTTTCTTAGGGGACATTTATATATTATATTATATCATGTCAACACATTGCTTTTTCAGATCCCTAAATCCATCAGCTATTACCAAAATGACCTTCATAGTATATTCATGCATTGTAATTCAACATGATTTGAGATAAAAACAACAACAAAAACCTCTCATGAAGTGGGCACATATCTTCTTCCAACTCTGGGTCTATATCTGCTTCCACTTTTCTCACTTTAGATAGAAATATATATTTATGTTCCACTATGTGTTGAGCACAGTTTGGTCCCTGGAGACACAGAGATGAACAAGACAGACCAAGTGATTGACAGTGAAACCTTATTTTCTGTAAAGAAGAAATCATGGAAGGAGTCGCCAATGGCCTGTAGAGCAACATGCCTAAGTTTTATTGTGACTACTGCGATACGTATCTCACCCATGACTCTCCGTCTGTGAGAAAGACACACTGCAGTGGTAGGAAACATAAAGAGAATGTGAACGACTACTACCAGAAATGGATGGAAGAGCAAGCTCAGAGCCTGATTGACAAAACAACGGCTGCATTTCAACAAGGAAAGATACCTCCTACTCCATTCTCCGCTCCTCCCCCCGCCGGGGCTATGATCCCACCTCCACCCAGCCTTCCTGGTCCTCCTCGCCCTGGTATGATGCCAGCACCTCACATGGGAGGCCCTCCCATGATGCCAATGATGGGCCCCCCACCTCCGGGGATGATGCCAGTGGGACCTGCTCCTGGAATGAGACCACCCATGGGAGGCCACATGCCAATGATGCCTGGGCCTCCAATGATGCGACCGCCGGCTCGGCCCATGATGGTGCCCACTTGGCCAGGAATGACTCGACCAGACAGATAAAGTGGAGGGGCAGCCTCTCTGTATCAGTTTTATATTATTTGTTCTGCTTCACCAGGGGTCATGGTGCTGTGACTCTGGGTGTTTTCTAACAGCATGAATGAAAAGGAAGACTTGCTCCCCCTTCCTATCAAAGAATAGTCTTGAAGGGAGAAGTATGATAAACAAAAGTGCAGAAAGTACAGTTTCATTTGTATTGTGAAATGTGAAAATAAGCTCGTCAGCTGTTTTAGTTAAAAAAAAAGAAGAAATCATAACACAACTACATGCTTTAAAATGATTTAAAGTGCAATGATCCTCATAGTCTCTCCTGACAATAGATTTATCACTTAAATTATAAATTTAATCCCAGGCTCACTTAAAAATACTAACTGGCATAGCTCAGACCTAAAGACTGCCCATGGGGGCTGGGAAGATGATTCGGTACAATAAGTGCTTTCCTGTCAAGTGCAAGGGCCTGAGTTCAATCCCTGGTTCCACCAAAAAAAAAAAAAAAAGAAAGAAAAGAAAAAATAAATAAAGAAAGAATGCCCACGTCATGGAGAAGCTGAAATGGTGACCCAGGATGGATGGGATTCACAGATGACATCAAATTTCCCTATCCCACCCAGAAACCTCCTTCAAAAACAACAAATTATTTCAAATATGCTCATTTCTCTCTGTCCCTGGCCATGATATTCTACCCTACCTAATCTCTACTCTCTGTCCTATGTCTTGGAATACCATATCAGAAGGGCTGGATTTTGGCCTGCTCCAGTGACTGGTAGGTTAGAACAGGGCCAAGAAAGATTAGAAGCCAAGTTATCTGCCCTGGCTCACTCCAATAGGTCAAATGCCCTAGAGTTCACAGAGCTGAGGACATATACTGTGGTGTGCTATGCAGTGGCCAGTGTGCATGCGTGGACATACCGGAGAAAGCACGTACACACTTAGAGCAGTGTTGTGCACAAGCCGGCTTCACTTTGGCTCAGTACTGATTCCCTATTCTTTAGCTACCTTGACTGTTTTGAGTCTATAACCTACTAACCTACCAGGTACTACACACCTCATGCCCCTTATTCTGTGACTCAGAATTTAGACACAATTCAACCTGGCTCATCGCTGCTTTTGTTTTTCTTTCTAGCCCCCTAAATGAGGGGGCTAATATTTTATTGAAGTGCAATTTGCAGGTACACTTGCAATCCATCAATACGGGAATACACAAAGGACATCTTGGACTGAGAAGGCTCTGGGGGTGTGTTTTTGTGTTTTCATATGCTTGCACACACCTATGGATGGTATCTATTGGTATATGACTGTCAGTATATGTTCAGGAGGTAGCTAACCAAATGTGCTTATGTTATGTGGGTATAAGTCACCCATGCTTATGAGAAGACCTATATGATTTGAGAATAAAGACTCCAGAGCATTTCATGTAGAATACATAGGCTTGGCCAGCATGGGCATGTGTAATTTTGTGTGCATGCGTGTGGGTATATGTGTGTATGTGTGTGTGTGTGTGTGTGCACCATTAAGTGGGGGGATCAGCGTGTGCTATACTTCCACATCACTAGCTGGGCACCTACAGGCCAATTCATTCCTGTCTCTTCGACACAGCAAACAGGAAGGCAGAGCATCTGCAGGCAATCTTTCCTACAACCCTAGATTCACAGGGAGTGGGAGTCCTTGGCAAGGGCATGGGGTCATACTGGACCTGGGAGTCCCTCTTGGTCAGCTGTACCACCTCCATCTTTGGAAGTTCCCTCTTCAGGCTCACTGTCAATATCAGCCTCGACCAGGTCCTGGGGTACTGGCCACTCTCGAGTCTGCCACTCCAGCCTTTCTATTCGGTAGGCAATCTTGAGTGCACTGGACTCCAGCTCAGCCAATAGGCGAGCAAACTTGGTCTGCAGATCATCAAGCTGCTGGTCAAGGCCCCTCAGTCTGGACTCTGTGGCCTCCTGCAGGGCGATCTCAGCTGCCTCAGCATTCACGTCCAGTTTGTTCATTTTGAGCAGGATCTCACGGCCCTTCTCCTCCATGACAGTCTGGGCTTGTGGATATTCACTGAGCACCTCACGAAGGTCCTCTTTGCTCAAGCAAAACAGGTCTGAATAGCCTAGGCTCTTGATGTTAGCTGTGCGGCGGTTCCCAGACATGTTCCCTGCAGTCCGTGGGCAGACAAATAGGAGAACAGTTAGGCAAGGAGAGGGGAGGAGGCATTTCAGGCCTGTATTGGAAACCTCATCCACATTTGTGCTTGTATATCATTTTTTTACCCAATTCTTTCACGTGGTGGTGTCCTGGGAACTAGGACCTATACTGTGTCAGTGACCAACCTCAAAGAATTCACAAGAAGCAAGGCATTTAATCGGATAGTTATGTAACAGTGCGGCTGATACAGTTAGACTCCTGCATTGGGTGGGAAGACAGACGACGAGGCCCTACTAAGCTGTGAGGTCAGACAGAGAATTCAGTGAGGCTTGGAGGAAAGGATGTCTAAATTGGATGGAAGGTAACTAGGGGAAGAGGAGGAGAGTGTGGGAGGAAAGCAATTTAGCCAAAAGGAGGCCCAAGGGCAGAGAGATGAAGTAGAAAAGAAGTAGGGAGATGCAGAAGACAGAGCAGTTCAGAGTACCTGAGGTGCAGGGTATGGGGAGAGAAGGGAGGAGATAACTTTGAATATTGTAAACCATGGCAAGGAGTTCAGATCTTATGCTGAGGGCAGTGGGAAACTACTGAAATACTTTAAGCTGGGAGTTATATGGTATTATTGACCTTTTTTAGTACTGGAGCTTGAACCCAGAGACTTTATTCTGAGCTACATTCACCCCCATCTTTTGTTGGGAGACAAAGTCTTGCTATGCCCCTAAATTGCTCAGGCTGGGGTCAAACTTGTGATCTGCCTGCCTTGGCTTCTTAAAGTATCACTTGCACTTAAGAAAGACATTGGTAAGAGGCAGGTGGGAAAGTAGGCTAGATGCTGTCAAGTCTCAGAGTGAGCCCAAAGAACATTAGAAAAGGTGCATTTGTTGGACATGCGCTATGTAGCAGGCACTGTGCTGCCTATCTCACTGACATAACTCATTTACTCTCACAAATAGCTCTCTGAGTTTTCAGTGTTATTCTTTTTTTTTTTTTTTTTTTTGCGGAACCAGGGGTTGAACTCAGGCCCTTGTGCTTGCCAGGCAAGCGCTTATTCTACTGAGCCACCTCCCTGGCCCCAAGAGTCGGGACGGGGGCACGAACGGGCGACCTCGTGCTCCAGAGCCCGGCGTGGAAACTGCCACGCTAGGTCGCCGCCTTCAGTGCTATTCTTATGGGCTACATGAGGAAATAGAGGGCTGAAAAGAAAAGTGATTTGTTCTAAGGCAAGCTGAGAAAAGTGGACGTCATACAGGGCCTGGAAATGGGGGTGATCCCTGGAGGGCAGAGGTGAGAAGTTCCGAAGCTCAGGCTAGGATAGCAGGGCTAGAGCAGGTCTAGTCCCCGGCAGGGACTGTGCACCCCTTCACAGCCTCAGTTTCTTTGCCTGTGATTGCGCATAGCAACGCCTCCTACTGCACAGGGCTGCCGAGAGGGTGGAATGAACTGCTACACAAAAGCTGGCCTGGTCTGGAGTTGATGGCCAGTAAGTGGGAATTTCTTCTCTTTACTTTCCCCTTGGCTGTGAGAAAGTCATTCCTGGTACTGATCCCAAGAGAGTGTCCTTAGCAGCTATGTAACCTTGGGCAAGTTCTCAGGCTGTTCTGAGTTTCAAATGCCTTATGCGTGAAATAGGAGAAGATTGGGACCTATCTCACAGAGCTCTGTGAGAATTTAACAGAGTTGATACGATTGGAACTCTCAGAACAGGGCGTGTAGTAAGCCTGTGATCAGTATCAGGGTTATTATCACCACCTCTGTTGTCTTCATGGGCTAGTTAGCTTTGTAGCAATGCCCGCAGAGCACATCTACTGTCTTCCAAGGGCCGACCTGCACACTGACTTTGTTTTTTTCTGTATTTAGGACAGAGCCTATAGGGTCTCAGTAGGTAGATTGGACTTATAGTGATTCTCCTGTTTTCAGCCTTCCAACTGCTGGGATTACAGGCATGCGCCACCATGTCCAGTCTCAATCGCTGTCTCAGCGCACCCTAGGGGCTAGGCTGGCACAGCACACCAGGGATTGAATCCTGGCCCCCTGTGCTCTGCCTAAGCAGGAGCTTTAGTCCTCTGAGCTATCGCTGACTTTGGCTTAGCTTCTTTTCAGGGAACTTCACATCCCGCTTCTCACCTCACCCCTGTAGTGACTCAGATAAGGCTCAGGTTTCCTTTATCTGCCTGTCTAGAGGTAGCACTTTGGCCCACTCTTGGCTCTGCCATCCCCATTTCCCTCTTCAGCTCTGTCCCAGGTACAAATGCTAGAGTGCCTACCTTTGATGTTGATGATGCTGATCTCCCCGAAGTACAGCCCGGCCCCAAGCACAGCATACTGTGTGACGCCGTCGTCTGCTACCACAGCCAGCTGCCCCTCGCGGATGATGTACATCTCTCGGCCAATGTCCCCCTTGCGACAGACGTATTCACCAGGTGAGTATGTCTGTGGCTGCAGCTTCAGCACCAGCTCCTCCAGCAGGCTCGCCTCACAGTTCTGGAAGATCTGTACCCGGCTCAGAGTGGACAGATGCACCGACACAGCCACCTCTGCCCGAAGCCGCTCAGGCAAGTGCTGTAAGATGGCCACCTCATTGGTCATCTTCTTGTTGATCTGCAGATGTTGATACCTGGGAGAAGGGACAGTGCCATTTTCTCACCAGCCCCCTCCATGCCTGTCTCCACCCTTTCCATCAGAGTCAGCTAAGAGCCTTGCCACACTGAGGTCTCAGAGGGGTCATTGCGGGGGGGGGGGTCTATGATATTTGGCTGTTCTCTTTTTTTTGGTCAAAGACATGCTTTGGCCTCGCCTACCTCATGCAAGCTGCTTGACAGAGAATAACATACCTTTCCCTCCTATCAGGCTCCATCCTACCCATAATTCCTAGACCATACCACTTACACTGATAACTACTTCAGCCCCTGGGTTCTCATCCTTTCAGGGAGCATTTGTTCAGGCTTCTCAACCAAGAACTTCTTTTTGTTCAGAACATAATATGCACTACCACGATACAGTCAGCCATCTTGTTGGCCATCCCTTGGGGTGTTTTAGCCATCTCCACTCACTCCTTCCAGAGCCTTCTGAGACCTAACCAGGCATGGGCTCCTCCCATTCCTTCATCTCCATGTTATCTTTTCCTTGTGTGAGTTCCTCTTCCCATCAGCTCTTTCCCACCCTCTCCCAGAAAGAAGTCCAGAGTGTCTTATTGGAAGAAACCCCTTTCCAAGCCCTCCTACAGATCTAGAAATGAACACCACATTTTGACTGTCTTGGGCCAGTGAGTAGTGAGAATGAGGTCTCCCTACATTCTACAATGGGCTTCTCCCTACCCTGACCTGGAACCTGAGGTTCTCACCAGTCAATAACGCGTCGCTCCAGTCTGCGGTTGACTCGGTGTAGCTTCATGTACTTCTTTACTAGTGCATGATCTGGGTAGAAAGCCGCATCTGCAGTGTTCATATTGTAGATGACAGAACTCATGCTACCCATGATGGTGGCAAAACCCATGACAGCCAGCAAGAAGTCACCCACCATGAAGAGATACTCTTCCTCCCGGGCTGGCAGTGGCGTATCACCCACAGTAGTCAGGATCAGGGTGGAGAAATAAAAGCTGTAGAGATACTGGCGCCGCAGGCGCTCAAAGCCAGGTTGTGCTGGGTCTGGGTATACCCAGGCGTCACGCCCAAAGCCCAGGTACTGGGACAGGGCAAAGTACAGGCAGCTGTTCCAATGGATGACCACGAAGATGTAGAGCATCAGCTTGGTGATGCGGAAGGCGTTTGGGTAAGCTGTGCGGGTCTCTGTGCGGTCAAAGGCCTCAAAGAGGCGGGGCACCCGAAGAAAGCGATTCAGCCTCAGTGTGGGTATGTGCGGGCCTAGCTGCATGTAGGCCAGGTCGGTAGGGATCAGGGAAGCCAGGTCCAGCACAAAGCCCCATGTGCGAACATAGCGACTGGCGATCCTACCCTTGTCCACTACCAGGATGCCTTGGTCTAAGAATCCTAGGAGGAGGAAGGGAGGGGACAATTGGGGAATCAACTGTGGGTGAGGGTGGACAGGCCAGGGCAGGACATGGAGATAGACATAGGGACAGGGTAGAGCAGGACATAAGCTACTCCAGAGTTTCTGGGGTGAGTACAGCGATGTTGTCAAGCATAGGCAGAGATAGGTGAAAGTGGAGGGGTCCTATTCCTTGTTAAGAAGAGATTTTATTTAGAAAGGGAATGCAGGACAAGGGCTCTGTCCAACCTAACAGTTCACTGACCTGTGTGGAAATGTACTGCAATGTCCAGCAGGTACAGCAGATCACTGGTATAGTCCAGGACGAACCAGGCCACCAGATAACCATGCTGCAAGTCTGGAAAGCAGGCTCTGGGGGTGAGGACAGGAGGGCTTGGCTGAGCATCACCCTCCCTGTGAAAGGCAGTCTTACCAGGCCTATTACTGTGCCTTGGGCCTTTCTGTGGGTGTAGTCCCTCCTTTGGGCACTGTCCAAGGGCCCACCCCTCTCCTGGACCACACTTTTTAGCCATTGACTACCCCCCCCACCTTATGGACCCCTTTCAGGGTCCCTGACAAACCTGCACACAACGATGATGAGGTTATACATGACTGGGAAGACCATCGTGTTCAGCCACCAGTAGTAGTAATCTCCTGAGGGATCCAGGACAGGTAGCCTCTTCCTGCAGGCAAAAGGAGATTCTGCTTTACTAGTTCACCACAAGTTAAATGCTGTGGCTGTAATTTGGGGCACTAAGAGAGATGAGGTTCTGTCAAGTAAGGAGAACAGATTTGATACCGACAACTAGGATTTCTCACCTGGTCGTGGAGGGGGCAGGGGGACTGGATTCTGTTGTCTTCACTTTGCTGTCCTGGCTCATGGTTCTGCGGCCTGATTGTGGTGCCTGGAATATCTAGGGCCCCTCCGCTTGGGAGGTGGGGGCTAGTGCTTGATTGCCTGGAACAGTCTGCCTTGGGCTCCAGCTGTGACTTCTCTCTGTCTTCGAAGCTCTTAGCAACACAACCAGAACCGGCAGTTACTGCAGGGGAGGAGGCAGTGTAGCTCTGCCACTCTGCCCCATCTCCCGGGCATAGGCTCACACCTGCAAGCTAAACACCATTAATGAGGTCCCTGGAGGAGGCAGGGGGAGCACACCTCAGAAGGAAGCCTGGTCCTTATTTATCTTCTTTTTCTTCTCCTTTGACTCCAAGCTGAGCTACACAGGGGCCCTGTAGAGCTGGAGATCTGAGTTTCAGTGCAGGGTTCCAAACAGTCTGTTTTATTTTGTATAGGTTTCTGCTGGGCTCATTATTTATTTAACAACTATTTGCTGAATGGCTCATCTGTGTCAGGTATTGAAGTAGTCTCTAGGGACAAAGAGCTGCCTCTCATATCAGATATGAGCTCTGTTTTCACTCTCTAAACCCTTATCTACATTTGTATCCACCTGACCTCTTTCCTACTGGATGCTGTGATGGGGGGCCATCTTATGGCGCTGTGGTCCTTTCTCTTTTTCTACTGCCTCTAGTGTCTAACGCTAACAACCATTCCATGTATTTTTTCGATCTTCAGCTTTTTCCAACTTTTCCCTTTCTGTGAATATACACACACCTTTTCTAGACCAAAACAAGTGCCCTATTAATTTTCCTTCAATGTAATGTCTCTCTCAATACTATTATCTTTTTCAATCAGCAGCTTAGAATCTTACTATGTTCCAGGACAAAACCATGCTAAGTATTGGAGAAAAGAGCAGTAGGACATTCTTCCCTCCAGAAGTTTATTGCCTGGCAGGGGACCTTAACAGCATCTTTCTGCCCCTTTTATCTTATCCAGGCTACTTGGGTCAGTTACTATACCCTTAATTCTAAGGCCCTTTACCCTAGCATTGCACCATGAATCAATTTTATCACCACAAACTCTAGATCCAGCCACCTCTGAAAAAAGCCCCACCTATTAGGCTTTGGGGCAACATCTAGACACAAACCATAATAACCCATATCTGGCATTTTCTTTGTATGTTCCTGAGGATCTAGACACATCCTTTTAAAAAATATTTATTGATACAGAGTCTCGCTATGCAGCTTGGACTCATAGTGATCCTTCTGTCTCAGCCTCCCCAGTGTAGGGAGTACAGGTGTGTGCCACCACACCTGGTTTAGGTGGCCAGCATGGCATGCGGGGGTACTGGGGATTGAACTTGGGACCTTGTGCTTGCCAGGTAGGTGCTTAGGCTGTGGAGCTGTCTCCTCAGCCTCCACACATTCTGATTGTAGTTCATAGAGAGCACTCCACCAGTGGTCCATACTGATCTGCCTAGCTGATCCTTTGGTTGCAACTTTTAATTTGTAATTCCATGTTTACCCCATTTCCCCTGCCAGACCGGAAGTAAGTTTTTGGTGGGAAGGAATCATTTCCATTCCTCTTGTCTCTAATATTTAGTACAATATTGGCCTGACAGATAGCAAAATTATAACTTGTTGACTAAGAAAGATGATAGTTCCCAAGGACCACTTGCTTGGGGCTCTCCTCTTGTCCCTCTCTCAGATAGAAGATTTCCCCCAATAAACATATTCTGCTCTTAAAAATGATAGTAATGACATCAGGTTGAGGGAGAATTAATAGAGTTTTTGTTTTGTTCTAGAAAAGATTTATGCACATTCTCAAGTTTCTTTTAAATACTTTTTATCTTGAACTAATTTTGGGCTTATAAAAAAGTTACAAGGGCTGAGGTGATAACTCTGTGGTCTAAGTGCCTGCCTGGCATGCGCAAGGAACCGGATTCAGTCCCCGGTAGTGCATGCTGGCCCAGCCCTGGAACCCTGGGCACGCGGTGCCATTCACCTAAGCCGGGCGTGGTGGTGCATACTTGTAATCTCAGCGCTGGGGAGACTGAGACAGGAGGATCATTATGAGTTCCAGCTACGTAGTGAGACCCTGCACCAAATAAATAAATAAATAAAGGGTTTTTTTTAAATTAAAAAGAAATAAAAAATTTGCCAAAAATAATATTGAAAGTTGCTGTAAACGCTACCAGATTTCCCTAGTGTTATTGTCTTATATAACCACAGCACGTAATGATCAAAACCAGGTAACATTGGTGCAATACTGGAAATTTCAGAACTTGTCTTAAACTTTCATTTCTTTGTTTTATCTCACTTGCTTGTTTCCCAACACTCAGCTCCGATGGCATTTCTTACTCAAAGTCTTCCCTGGGGCCCTCTGCCCTTCCTTCCTCTCAGTCTTTGTGCACACAAATCATGCTAAGTGCTGCTTCTAGATGGTTCTCCTACTACAGCATTTCGTATACTACGTTGCAATCATCTGTGTCTGGTTAAGGATCTGAAGTCCCGGAGGGCAGAGATCCATTGTAATTTTCCTGGACATCAGCCTGTCCTGTAGGCGTTTAATCTTCGTCCCTTTTCCAACTGAAGCAATGTCCAAAGGGTCACGGTGCAACACAGAACATAGGGGTCGCAGGACGCAGACAGAGGTGGCTATTGTGGGGGCGCTAAGATGCAATGGAATAGAAAGTGCCGGGGGGGCCAAAAACGAACTAGGTTGTTTACAGTCAGAGCTCTCTGGGGTTCAGCTTCACTGTAGTGCCTGCCCACCTATAGACTCCCTCCGCTAGGCCTGCACTTTACGGCTAGCCACGCCCCCACGCCCACTCTTCCACCCTGAGCGCTGCTCTAGACCCTTCGCCCGGGCCCTCTCCGAGTCCTCCATTCCCGAGGCTCTCCTAAGCCCCGCCCCTCTGGTTTGCCTAGCCTGTAAAAGTCTCATCCCTTCCTAAGTCCCGCCTTCTGCCCTCTGGTTCGACCTTTTCTTCTCAGACTCCGCCCCAGTCCTGCGGGCCTCCGCCTACCCAGAGGTCTGACCCTATGATAGGTCGGAGTCCCCCAGGGGGGCGGGCTTTACAATTGGAATGGGCGGAACCTGGAAGGGAAGGCGGTACTTCTCCAAACGCGGTCGGCCACCCCGCCCCTGCGCTCTGCCGTTGCTAGGAAACAAGCGTCCACGCTACGGCTTTGGCCTTCCCCAGCCAATGAGCTGTTACGTCCTTTCCCCGTCCTGCGTCGCTGGGCGGTTACGTGTGGTGCGCGGGGGCGCGGGCTGCGTGTAGCGCTGGGCGGGGCGTGGCTGGAGCGCCTGAAGAGCGATGGCGGCGGCCTGAACTCACCTTAGCACATTCACGACGACAGGGCCTTGCCCAGGTTGGCGTTCTGTGAGTGAACCGTACGCGTGGGTTGGAGGGCCGGAGAGGTGCATGAGGGATGAGGGACTGGGGAGCGACGGCGGCGGGTGTGGTGGTTGCGACTCCTGGTTGTGAGGAGCGAGGGTAAAGAGTTGGCAGGGGGTCAGGGGCTGTGTGTAGGTAGGGAGCCGGATGAAAAGTTGGGGTGAATGGACAGGTGAGGGGCTGCTTATGTGAGCCGCGGGGGTGCTTTGGAGGCCCCTGGTTGAAGGGTCTCGTGAACAAGGAGTCCTGAGGGGCTGCGGGTGCAAAGGGCGCGGGTGAGGGACAGTTCTGCGACCGTGAGGGGATAAGGCCGGTGCAGGAGAGCTGGGAGAGTAGAGGCCCGGGGCGGGAGCCTGGGGGGCGGCGACGCGTTGGCGCCGGAGTGGAAGGCCGGGCCTGGAAGAGGAAAGGAGGTGCGAGTCGTGGTTCAGGTGTGAGACTGGCCCAGGGCCTCCTCTACTGGGTTGTCCTCCTTGTGAGCAATAGTTTTAGACTCGGTTCGCGTGGATGGAAGTGCTGTGTGCTGACTTTCCTCCACCAGTGGATTCTGTAGATTTTGGAGGGAGGAAAAAAAAAGAAGGCGTCATGGGTAATAGTAACTATGATAATGAAGTCATTTTTGGGGTCTCAGTCATCAACAAGAGTGATCATTGGGGCCCCAGTTTCTTCTGGATTGCAGACTTGAAGGTGAGGCTTCTCATGATTTTTTTTTTTTTTTTTTTTTTTAATTATGGCTGCTTGTGTTTTCTCTTCCTGGTTCTGAGCAACAGTACAGTAATCCATTATTGCTCCTTAGCTCTGGTTGGACTGACCTTATCTATATTGGACTGACTACTTTCAGTTACCAGTTCAATTTCTTCTGGGAGTTGCAGGATTAGCTATATATAGCACTATATTTAAGCTTTCAAACAGGATGGCTTTGCTATTTTTTAAAAAAAACAGTTAAATTAAAAAAACCCTTTATATTGATGTAAATTTATGCATAATAACCTGCTCATATTTAAAATGTACACTTGCTGAATCTTGACATGTGTATACATTTGTGAACTACTGTCACTATCAAGATATCAAACATTTTTACCTCCCTGAAAGTTTTTTCTTTGGAATTCAACCCTCCCTCTATACCCTCTAATTGGGATTACTTTATTGGTATTTTACAAGCCCTCTTCTCCCCACCAACCTCTACATGAAAATTGGGGAAAGTCAGATTCCACTCAGTTGTCATGGCCACTTTTTTTGGTACTGGTGATCGAACTCAGGACCTTGTGTGTGCTAGGTGGGTGCTTAAGCTGCTGAGCTATCTCCCTGGCCCAATGACCATTTTCATATCCTTAAATTTTCCTCACTGCTGACATTCTGTCACGGAACCCAGACATCTTCACTTTTCCTCAATCTTAGGAACACTTAGATATTCCAAAAGATCATTCCCTGAGAATTAGGAGCAGCCACAGCCTCCATTATATTCCAAAGTCTCAGCCTCAGAACCAACTGTTCTAGTCCATATTTTCAGTGCTTCTCTCTGGAGGCCACAAACAGGTCTTCACACTGGTGGAACCTTTGGTAGCCTGTCTAGGACTACATAACACCTGCTGGTACAGTAGAGTTTAGAATAATGGTTCTTAAACACTGGATCAAGGACCATGATAATTTTCATCCATATGAGGTGCAAAGAGAGACAGGCTAGGGAATTATCCACAAAGTTAAAGTTACTTCATTATCCTTCCTACCCTGTTGATGTTAAAGTGCTCTTTCAGTAATAAATTAACAATGACAGTAGATGATGAGTTTAAAAAATGGTTTTGTGAAAATAGAAAGTGGTAACCCTGTTTTTAACTTTAAAAAATTATTTTTACTGGTTCATGAAATACTGAAATTTAGGGCAATGATGGTATGATTGTTGTTTTATGTTGAGGAAGAGTGTATTTATATGGTAATTCTATATAATTTCTGATATCTGATCAGCATTTGTGCTTTCTTAGTAGGCTTCTTGCTATAAAATCAAGGTTCTACGTTTTGCAAAGCAGTCTCAAATTTTAGTGGATTTATGTAGCTATCTTGTGAAGTAGGCCAAGGGAGGAATTTTTTTTTTATAGTTGAGGACTCAAGTGTAGAAGCTAGAGGTCATAAGGGATAAAGTGGCAAAGCTAGACTCAAAATTTGATCTCCTGAGATTGAGAGTGACTTCGGAAAGATTTGTAACAGAGTGTAAAGGTGATGGAGGGCAAAGGGCATAGAGTATATAGAAAGTATGATAACGTGGAACCATTTTCAGCAAAAAGAGGTTTTTATAATTCATTATTGTTTTCTTTTCAAATGAGATTAAGGGAACTTTGAATAGGTATCTGTATTGCCATTGCCTGTGTTACATAGTAATGATAAGGATAAATTAAATCACATGTTATTGTACAAATTCTTGGTGGTACTAGAGAAAGTGCTGGGCTTAATAAATGTATTGTTTGCTATACTGAATCTTTTGTTGAAGTAATACATTATAGTGGATTTTGACTTACGCCTTATAGTTGACTAATAGAACTGAGAGAATGAAATATAGATGAGGGTGATACAGAGTTACAAACATGTCTGAGATCTGGTGTGTAACCATTTATTCTTATCTGCTGTGTGCTAGGCAGTCTGATAAATGCGGGGAGAACAGACTTATTCTTTCATATACAGTATTCATGCATTGACACATTTAGAAAATACTACTTAAGGATATAGTCTGTTCTCTCATTGCTCACATTTTATAGAAAAAGATAACTAAGTCATGGTCCTGTAACTTCTCAAGGAGTTCTTAGTCTTGCTGGGAGAGATCAGTACATGAAAAGATAGTTTGAATTTAGAGAGAAAATTAGTGAGGTTATTACTTCTCTGTAGCTAATCTCCGTCTCTATGTATCCAGTGTTCTGTGTATCCACAGCTCCACAGGTATCTTGAAATTAACATGTCTAAAATAGAATTTACTGTCTTTGACCTGAAAGACTATTTTTACACTGTATGTCAGATTTCAATTCAGGCAAGGATTTTGGTGTCATTTTCCATACTTCTTGCTCTTTCACCAGAAGAAGCAAGTTCAGTGACTAAAATCTTAATACATTTCTGCTCTCTCTCTCCACTTTGTCTCTGTTGTCACATCTTCACTATTAAAGCTTTAGTTTAACCCATTCTCATTTATCATCTGATTTTTTTTTTAACAAACTGTTGCTTTAAAATTTGCTCTTTTCTAGTTCATCCCTAAAATGACCTTTCTAAAAATATAAAGCTGATCCTAGAACTCATCTACTGAAAGACTTTGGCTCTATCCTGTAGGACAACATCCAAATTCATTAATATGGCCTCATGTGGCCTCAAATCACCTCCAGCCTTGTCTCCTGCCACTCCCTACTCTGTTCTAGTTTGGATTAATTTCTTAAAGTTCCCTGACAAACATGTTACTTTTTTGAGCCTTGAAATGTTTGTAGTAGTTGGCTTCTCTACTAGGAATGCCTTTTCTTCACTGCTTAGTGAGCTTTCTTTATCCTTCATGATGTTTCACCTTCTCTCTTTGTTACCCTAAAAGAAGTAGAGATAACCTAAGGATTCACTGTTGTAAAGGGGCATCACTGTGTCATAGAGATTCACTCTGTGAATGATAAGGCTCTGCTGCAGTCAGATAAGGAGCTCCCTGTAAGAAGCGGAGGTGGTATGAGGGTAGGAGAGGAAAGATGAGTTGTGACCTAATCTTGATGTATTTGTGGAATGGAAAAGCAGGGAGGATACCTGTAAGCTATGCTCTAGATTGCTAGGTTCCTGTGAAGTAGATGTTCTTATGTTTTGTTTTTCCTTTTGTACATTTGTGAGGCTCAGTTTACTATTTTCAATAATTGGTGTAACAAGCCATTTGTACCTCTTATAAGTCTTAATTTTCTTGCCTCAGAAGAGCCATTGTAGGTAGAGATATACTTTTAAGACTTTACTGATCTGTTCATGGAAGTTCATTTTGGTCTCTCCCTGATTGATACAGACTTTGCAGGTGTGTCCCTGCCTCCAGCTTCCTCCTTTTTGCCTCTCCCAGGGCAAAGGTTCACAAGTGAGGTTGGCCCATTTATTGCCCTATGTCTGCTATTCTATGTTGGCTACTATTCTTGCTGTGTGTGCCTAAAAAGCTATATTTTTGGACCTAAGGTGAGTCTGACCACGGCAGTTTGTGGCTGAGAATAATCAGGTTACCCTGTGGCTGAGCCTGAGGGGAAATCTGGAAAGTGAGGGGGGTCTGCCCATTTTCTGCCCTTTGCTGTGTGAGGAAAGGGTATTTTTAGAGGCTGCTGATACTGCACTCTTCTTTGTCTTATTCTAAACTTTGCTGGGAATATTAAGTAGGTGACAGGAACATTATCTTAACAGTCTCTTTTATGTTTTTCAATATGTGAGCAGGGCATAGAGTAAATGTTGGGTTGCATTGTGAGATGCTGATTCCCATGTGGCTCTTTGAGCTCCCTGAAAAGCAATGGGGAGGCAATGAGGAACAATCCTTTAGGCCAGTCTTGGGTCTGTGAGCAGTGCTCCTTTGTGATCAAGCAGTGGAGCAGTATTGCACACCCCAGGTACAAGGTAGGAGACGTTTGATAATCTTGGTAATTAAATTTCAGAAGCTGGAGGCAGTTTAGTTTTGGACATGTTAAGACCTTATTTTGTTGAGACTGCAAACTTGACCCTTCTTCAGTTTACTAGGATATGAGTGTGGCAGTGATGAGGATGGGGAGGATGGACACAGGAGAGCAGGTTAGATTGCTCAGTCAGAGATGTTAACACCTTGGTCAGGTAGGGTCAGGAAATGGAAATAGGAAAGAAACATGTAATTTTGATTACCCAATTTATGCCTGAAATGCTGCATAGGTTATCTTAAAATTCACAGTATTTTGTTAGGAATTCACTGATGAAGAAATTGAGACTTAAATGTGTGAAGTGATTTATTGAAAGTCACACACCTCAAGCTTTACCTATACTAGTATTTTTTTATTCTTAACTGTAGGGTTTATATTTGTTT